GCGTGAGTACACAAATTGTCTACTGCAAGAAGTGCAAGAAAACGTGATGAAATACGCACGATGTAGGTTTAGGAATGCGTTGAAAAGAGTAGAATTGTAGTGCTGGGAGGCTTTCAGAATTAATGAATGTGAAGCACCGCATAAGAGGGACACATGCTGAAAGTATAAGAGCGTGTAATGAGAATTTGTGGAAGAAATTTGAAAATGTGGGATTTTGACGCACGATTATAGCCGAGTAGCATAAAAGTATTAATGGAGCAATGATCACAACACACAAGACGGGCCGAAGGTTTTCATGGCGAGTGACGCTTCTGGGACCTCGTCCCATAACAAATATTTCGACGGAGCGATGCATGAACTTCTGCAAGATTCATCAACTCTGCGCGGCCCGGCGGGAAGTCGGCTGGGCGGGACGAGTTTTTGGTGGGAAGCTGTGATCGGGCCTGTGTTTGCAGTGCTGAGAGGAGTCCATTGAAACGATGCATCTCTACGATGCAATACAGGAACCCGTATGAACTAGAACTTGGCTAGGAGCATGTGATTGAATTCTACGGTGAAGACTCGCTTTAAAAGTTGTACAAAGTCTTCGTGTTCTACTTCCTAACCTGAGAACAGAGATTATTAAATATTATTAATGTTGATTTAAAATATATCATTATACAATATATAGTAATTTTATTATTAATTATCATTTAACAAAAAGTTGTTTTTCCCTATCAATGCAGCCCCGGTCGGCTCGTCGGTGGTCGCTTCTGAGTCGACGAGTTAGAGCGTTCTCAACCGAGGTTGGCTTCCCTGCGAATGCTGATACTATATTGGAGTTGTATGCTCCTCACCTAGAGAGATCCCAACAGAAGGTGAGATGCCACGGTGCGCATGTCGTTGAGAGAAAATGTTGCTGACAAGATGGAAACTCTGCGGAACTTTTGGGAAATTTTGGTTTGGTTTCTTTACACTTCTACCCGAATTCGTTCATAGTTAATGAATGGAATATATTACCTGAGATCAGTTGAGGAAAGTGAATATATATTTTTCCAATATATATTCCTCCTCAGGAGTTTCACCCGTTTTACGCGAAGTGGCGTAAAACTCCGTGAAAAACGCGATATTCGCGGTGATATGTTTTTCATATCACGGTCGTGAAACTCCAATGCAGAAATCACTCACATTTTCAGGTTGCATTTCACGTGGCGAATTTAATGAAGTTGGCCAAATTTCGAGATGACATTAAAGTTGACGACCCAAGGTATCTATCACTGGTAGTAACGTGCGTCCTGGAGTACTCGCAGAAAATATTTTTTCAGCTAGCAGAAATTTCTCGATACCGCTCGTCGCTCACATCGCAGATGCTGTGCGTTGTAGTAGAAGCTCTAGGAAGGCTGGGTCGACCGGAGCTGCTATCTGGAGAATATACAGCGGTAGTATTGGAGTTTCTGGAAGAGGCGATATTCGCGGTGATATGCAGTAGTCGTGAAATATATTTTTCACTAGTGTTTTTTATATCGCTAGGATGAAACTCCCGTTATAATAGACGATAACACAGTTGTGTTTCTCTGTATGCATACAAGCAACTACATGTGTTGGTGACGATGAGAAAATTCTGACGAAATTTTGTGATTTTTTGTGTACTTTTACTCGAGTTCTATAATTAGTGAGAAAACTCCTGAGTTCAGGTGAGAAAAGCGAACATATATTCCTACTCCAACACTGTATAGGAAACTCCTGAGCTCAGCTGAGAAAAGCGAACATATATTCCTACTCCAACACCGTATAGAAAACTCCTGAGCTCAGGTGAGGAAAGCGAATATATATTCCTACTCCAACACTGAATAGGAAACTCCTGAGCTCAGCTGAGGAAAGCGAACATATATTTCTACTCCAACACTGAGCTCAGGAGTTTCCTCACTAATTATAGAATTCGGGTAGAAGTGTACAGAAACCAATGAGAATTTTTTCCATTGTCACCAACACATGCGCATATTTTCCCTTTCCTCAGTTGATTCTTTCTTCACTCGAGTACTTGGCGACTGACGTTCTCACTGTTGTGGCGAAAACGTAAGTAAACACGTCTCGATCTACAGTGGAGCAGTGTTGAAATATATGCTCGCTTTCCTCAGCTGAGCTCAATATTTTCCTCGATGATTATAGAAGTTTACACGCGAATTTGGGTAGAAGTATTCATGAAACCACGAAAAAATTCCAAAAATTTTCTCGAAATTCGCAAATTGTCAGCAACCTGTGTAAAACTTCCTACACTACAG